GCGCAGTTCGTCGAATGGAATTTCATTATTGCCGAAAAGGTTCACCGACTCCTGATGAAAGGACCTGGACTTGGACCGTGATAAATTATAAGGGGAAAGTACACGTCTGACCATTAATTTTCTCTCGGGAACATTCTCCCCGGTTTAAAGAGGCCGACCTATTTTTCACCCTCCCCCCTCACCCCTCCGGGCAGCTCCTTATGCTTCCGGGACGCGATCTTATGCTTCTTAGTTTTTCACCGCGCGTTAAATAGCAGTTAATCGACTCGACGATTTGAAGACGTGGCACGCGGCGGCGGTCGACTTTTCCAACTAACGAAACCGACAGTTTCGACGAGAATTCAATTGCTCCTAGAAATTGGCGCTGTAAATTCATCGTCAGTTAATATTTCTCCTTCGGCCAGTCCAATTAAATATCGTATATTTCATGGGGAATTTAACTCTATCAATCTATCAATCGTACCGCGAATGTCGGCAGATTCAATCAGATGAAATTGATTCTCTATTAAACTGGTCTTTTTTTCTTTTTTTACATTTTTCATACGTATACGCATTTGACGAAATGGAGTAAAAAAATTTGTTTCGTACGCGGAAAATTATAACCGAAAAGGTATTGCAATATTCGGCAAAAAATTGAAATGCAACACAATTACAAAATGGATAACTGTAATTTTTGAAGCTTTAATAATATGTATATAATTAACGGTTTTAAAATAATTAATATGTATATAGTTAACGGTTTTGGTCATAAGTTTTGTAGTTGGAAAATAAAATAAAGTAAATATTCTTGTACGTTCTGTTCAATTTTAGTTCCGGTTGTGTAGTTTTATTACTACACATATATCTATCTTTTTTTATTGCCTTGTTTTCATACTAAAAAGTATATCTTATTGAATAAACAAACAAACAAATAAATAAATAAATATTCGTAGCAATTTTACACCCTTGAATATAAAACATACATCTCTCTTTCCTTTTTAACAAATAAATTTCTGCCTTTTGCAAATCAACTGCATTTTATTCAGATACATAGTTAGTAGACTGCAGACTTTTTTTATGCGAAATTTAAAGACATAAAAATATAGAGGATATTCAAAGTAGGGTACTCGTTATAACTTTTAATAGGTAAAAGTCAATCTACGTTCAAGTTCTACTTCTTTACGGTGTGTTCGTAAAAAAACAGAAATTTTCGTAATAAATATCCCATAAGCTCAACGAATCCTACACCCATGAATTTTTTTTTTTAATCACGAGAAGCCGACATAAATAATTATAAAAACTCCGAGGGAAATTTTCGAAAGTTAAATTATCATTCTTTCGCGTAGTGCGTTTTAATTTGTAGCTCTTCAATGACTGAGATATAACACGAACATTCAAATTTGCTGCTGCTGCAGATCCTGAAATTTCGAAATTTTTTTTACGCCTCAGTTCTCATAATTTTTAATAAAACGTTTTGAAAGTTACCATTCCATTTCCCGATCATTGTTTCGCGCATTTTTTGAACGGAATTTCAAACATTTCAAACGGGAAACGAAGCATTTTTAAAATTCGATGGATTTCAATTAATTTTTTAGTTGAAATTACATGAAGTTTCCGACCCAGTTTTAACTGATAAATTAATCGCCATTTATAGAGTGTTGTTTCTTACGTTTTCCACGTAACTTTAATGCACCGTTGAAAATTTTGAAACACTCTTAGCTTTTGGAACGTAGCACATCTGTTCGTCCATTTATTAAGATTGTAATTGTAATTTTCATCTCTTTAAATGTAATTAATTACAATCTAAATATATATAAAAGGACAGCATTATAAACGGAAAATTGATTTAATTAAAACTTTAGTCATTAGTTCTTTTCAAATTCCAACATGCTCCAAATTTTTGAACGGTAGCAGAAATTGCATAGCAGATTTCGTGATTCTTCTGTATGTAACTATAATACATAAATTAGTGTGTCCACAAAATCTTTCTTTGTCTCTAAATATCTTCTCTCTTTTTACAAACTTTCTCTTACGTGTTCCTTCTTTTGCCTTCATTTCATTCACAGTCACAAGATGAAATTGGTGAAATATTTATCTGTAAACTTGGTCTCTATACTTTCAAATAATAGCCACTTCAATAAAAAAAAAGAAAATACGATAGAAAAAACAATAACGAAAAAAGAAAATCGACTTCTTGAAGAAATATTAATTGTCTTTGCTCTCTCCAATACAATTTCTTTTCACATTGTACGCATCCATGGTGCAAGACTTGGTAGAAAATGTAGTGGGGAGATCGGTACAGTGGAGGGGGTAGCGATCAGGAAAGTGGGGACAAGGCCGCCAGTTAGCAACCTCTGTCATAACTGATAGGTGCTCTTAGCATTAACAACAACAGACAACGCAACAAATAGCATTTGTTCGCTAAGAATTTGTCCCCGTTCATTGGAATATTCCCAATTTCGAGTTTGTTCCGCCCCGATTGTTGAAAGTTAACGCTTGATCGAATTATCTGAACGCAACGAACGGTAATTACAAGCCCCACAGGGCTTGTTTCGCGTCGAGGGGAAACCGTTAAGGAGCACTGCCGGTGTTTGAGACAATACCGGGAAAAATACATTAGCGGGTCTGTGCTTTCTCTGGCCGAGCACCGTAATTTCCGCCACCGGATCGAAGATTATCGCATTAGCGAAGATGCTGCTTCGATTGTCGAGACTCTA